TTAATGGTCCAAAATTGAGAATAAACTACTCCAAAAAAGAAACATGCTATTTTTGATGAGCTCAAAATCAAATAGAGTGGTAGGGTTTAGCACTTTAAGGATGTTGTGTGTCGAACTTCCTCATTCATTCAAGATCTCTCTCGATTTAAGCCCACTAACGGGTTTCTACACTTGCTTAAAGTTGCGTAATGTAAGGATTTCTCGCCATGACGTCAACGATACCGTTGAGAAACGCAAGCCGCTCTATGGCCCGCCCGCTTCTCCACAAATGCAGCAAACGAGCGATGGACCGCTTTCATACCATTCAAAATGGTCTCGACGGACCGGTTCACCGTGGTTGTCCAGCATTAGAGCGCGTCTTGTTGAACAAAGACTGCGCAAGCTAGGCTGCGTACGCACACTTGTAAACCTTGACGCAGCGTATTTTTTTCGAAGTCAGATGCATGATGAGCAGAAACTAAATTTTGTAAAACTATACAACTAAAAACATTGCAAAAGTAGGGTACTAGAAGAATAAATGGGCATCGTTTTGGATTCTGTGTAGAATTGCTCATTTTTTCTTATATTATGCTAAAAAAGACAATGAATTTGCGAAAGCGCCACAGGAGGAATTTTCCTAGGTTCTGTATATGATCTATTTTGTAGACACTAGGCAATTTCGCATTGCTCTATCTTCCCCTCTCAGCTATCCAAGTCTAAGCACCCACTTTTACCAGTGCATATTCAAATTAATCGAGACAAATTTGAAAGCGGATAATGATTGCGAAGCAGAAGACGGTTGGGCACCCTATCAGGTTGCAGAAAACCGGCTGCTAAAGACACACATCTGCTCATCTTTTTAGAAAATTGAAATGGCCGTTGTCTCATGGTAGGTAACGTGTGCGCCAGCTGGCTACCGTTCAAAACTCTCGCAAATAATGCGTTCAAAATGTCATTAAAATTGCAAGCGTATCGCTTTTAAGGGCAAAAAGCGCAAAGTTTAAGTTTGTTTAAATAAATGAATACTTGTGCTTGATTTTAGAAGAGAAAGCTCGTGCTCAGTTGTTACGGGAGATGAACACTCAAGTCGCATCGACAATGGTCGCTCATATAACTAAGAAAACCTCCCCGGAACCTCAGAAAAGTCCTTCCGGTAAAGCATTAATTCCCTTTAAATGCGAAATATGCTTATTCAATCAGATTTCCAGCCTCTTCCTCAGCAAGTGACACTGCGTCCTCTGTAGCGTCATCATTGTTTGGATCATCCCTACCACCTCTTCCTCCACTTTCTATAGCACCTGCAGGCCTACCGGCGCCAAAACCCGTCAAAATTTTTGCGCAACCGGTGACAATCAAATCGGAAGCTACGGAGGTAGGCATCCACAGAATTGAGAGCATGTTGCAATGCACATCACTGCACCAAACCACAATAATTCGTTCTAATGTGAAAAATTGTCTCAGGTTGAAGATGATATCCACGAACCTACCGACCTTAGTGCAAAAACATCGGCTTTCGCTGCGCTTGGACAGAAAAAGCGTACGG